GTGCTTTCTAGAATCTTTGTATCACCTAACTTAGGGGGCAAGTTGCTTCTTCGTTTTGATTTGCACCCTCACTCCCCTTTCCCCTCCTCTTATAATACCAAACCGCAAATCAAATTCCTCTGAAATAAGTCAGAATAAAGCAGTACGCAGTAAAGCTGATAGAACATCCAGATATATTTCATACCATTAATCAGATGAGCAAAACATTCACAATTGAGAGATTATGTTGCTGTGGTCCCAACTATGTGGTTTAATAATATGTTATAGTGTCAAAGTTTTTGTGATGGATTGTATTGAAGGGGAATAAACCACTAATAGCTAAAACAAAATTCACCTCCTCAGACATGAGCATTAAATGTATTTGGGGGTGTGCATCACTACTAAATGTATTGAGGGGGGGTGTCACTACTCAGGAACAAAATTCTTAATAGGCTGAGTAAATGCAGCTGATAGCTTTAAAAATGCATAAGGGAGCAGATGGCTCGGCCCAAACAGACCTGCTATTTTGTGGTGTTTGATAAGGGGTGGTGGTAAATAAAACTGTACACAAGAAAGGCTGTGTGACTAACCAGCCCAAACTTTTGCTGCTGGTCATGTCTTGACCAAAAGGGCTGAGAGTATGTGGTAAGGTCAGGGGACAAATAATTTGGTATCCAGAATACAGTTACTTAGTCCACACTTACTTGGATGTTGTTGGCAAGTGATATGCTTCAGTTGGAGTCTATTTAAAAAGTTACATTTCTATCTGCTGTATCTGATAGTGCAGACATGGATTTTTTTTGTGTTTCATTTCATACTGTGAGATCTTTAAATGAACTGCCAAAAAAACCCAGTATGATATTAATTCTTGATAGTTTTCTTCACATTATAAAAGAAGCCTCCAGCATGCCCCAGAAGAGTAGGGCATGGATTAAACACAGCCAGGTTTACTTGGAAGACTTAGTCATCACCATCACTTTCTTGGTAGCACACTGGTCATGCTTAAACATCAAACCTTGTGTCTCAGCATTGCTGTAACATTGTCTAGTATTAATCCAGGCAGTCATGTGCCATGTTTTATGTAATGATCCATACTTTCACACCACAGACACACAGCCAGAAAAGGAAACACATTGATTTAGCGCTTGGTAATCCTTCTTTAATCCCCAGTCCTTTGGTTTACATCACTAACATGGCTCCTGCAGTAGTCAGTGTTCTATCTTTGTTCTTGGCAAATTGAATTAAAGGAAAGATTTATTAATTTGTCATTTGGCTTTGCAGATGCATCTTAAATGTACTAAAAACCAAAGCAGTCCAGAAGCCAGTATTGACTTAACTATAAAAATCTGCTCTTTAAAACTCAAACGTTTGCAACAATCCAAGTCAAGCTGGAGAGAGTAATTTATTGGCTTACTAAAGCAATTGCATTGTATAGGGCTAAATTTAACAACTGTCTTAGTGCAGGCCCTCAGCCTACTTTCTTTTTCACTCATTGCTACAAATACAATTAATCTCTTTCCTTGCTCATCTATACCTAGGAGAGCAACAGTTTATGGCTTATGTACTGATAAGAGAAAGGGGTTGGAACTAATGGATTCATTTGCAAAAAATGTTAGAGGGTCAGAGATCACCATTCATTCCACTGGTGATAAATATTCCATGTAATTGCTGCACAAATGGTAGTGTTTGGGATTTATTTCTATTAGTTTACAAATGCTGGTTGCTTTCTTCCTTCTCACAGTGCCAAAGACGATGATTCTTGGGAGGAAGCCTTTTGTAATCATTTAGCTGTCATCACCTTCACTCCTGAATCCTTTAGGCCAGGTACAGGCTAGCCCTGTTCCTTTCTGGCAGGTGAGATTCCAGAGCTAACTCCAGCAGCTTAAGGTGGCTCTTCACTCACAACCTTCCTGCTAGCAAGTCAGCTGAAATCTTGAGTGATAACCATGCTCATGTTACAATTGTAAAGAGCTTTAATATTTTTTTTCAGAGAAAGGAATTGTTAATTTCCTAGATGTAATCAAACAACTGTATTTTAGAGTCTATAGCAATATAGACTGTCCTTCCTGTTCGACATAATTCTACTTTGGGAATGTCCAAGTCAGTTCCTTAAGCAAATAAACTTGTAGAAAATTAAGATGACTGTAATTCACATTCAAACTATGGCATTTAGGCTCAACTATAAAGCAAACTAATGTAGTTTGATTGCTCATTTCAAGGAAACTATAATGTGAAAAAAAAAAATCCCTTCACTGAGTGTTTAAATAAAATCAGTAGTCATGTAAAGTGTTAATGAATTAATTGTTGTAATGTACAAAAGTATCACATGGATAGTGCTTTGGTAATGGGAAGTAAATAACGATAGGATGGGTCTGTTCTTGCAAGCAGATCTGCAACGTGTCCTTCCTCTTGAAGCTGATGAAACTCTTCTGTGTCTGCCTGCTAGTAAGATTACAGATGCAGTTCATGCCCTCATTTTCAATTTGTGCTTGCATGACTGAGTTTATTTTTAAATCTACCTAGTCAGACAAACATAAATATTTAACTCCCAGCAAAGGACGGTAAGTTAGACTGAAGGCACATAGTAGTCTTTAGTGTACCTTCCAAAAGACCTATTAGTAAATCTAAACATCTCTTGTGAGTCTCCATAATTACTTTAGACACTGTCATTGACAGTAAATGGCATTTTTCAGAGAAAGGAATATACTCAAGAGTTCCTAATAGCACTCTTATTAAGACATGGGGTGTGAATCCGTTCTTCCTAGGAGGCTGCCACTGTGCCAATATCATAATATTTGCATCAAAAGTTATTTCCTACAGTGGATGTAAGATGCACAGGCCTTCATTAAAGATACATTTTGTGCACTGCTTTGGGACCTGAGGTCTAGAACCGCATGGGGGTGGCTGTGAGGCAGCCCATCAGCCAGGAGCAGAAGCCAGGCTGCATCAATGCCTTGGAGCATCGCAATGGCCCTGGATCATTAGGTGTTCACAACTAGCATTCAGAACAAGGGTGTGCTGAGCACGGAGCTGCCCTGAAATGCTGGAGAGATCTGCATCTTAGTGCCTGCTCCAGTCTTGAACCTGGCTTCTCACTGCTTACCGTACTCTCTGGTGACACAGCTGCCTTTTCCTGTCAAAAGGATGAGAGGAGAGAGCGATTACTTCTCTACTGGGACCAGGCTTGGCCCTTCTCATTTCCTACTGTAACCATTTGCCCAAGACGGGTGAGCCCTGGATTTCCTTTTCCACTGCATAAGCTTTAAACCCACAGCTCAATTCTGTGAAAATTGCTGAACAGTGTAAGCTGCTGTTTGCTGCCATGGAGAAGAGGCATGCTTGCACCCTCCAGGCCATCCCCCCAACCCCAGGGCCAATGTAGACCAGCTCTCAAGTCCATCGGGAAGAAGGGGAAGAAAAAGGAACTTTTAACAGCTCAGTTGAGAGAGGAAACTGAGTGTGGGTTCACAACGCAGGGCCTCACTATGTGTCTTGATGGTTGGGGTTGTTTTGGTTTTGGTTTGGGTTTTCTTGAGTGATAAGCTGTTGAAACTTAAATTTTGCTCAGAAGCTAAGTTTTTCAGATAGTCCAAAAGCATGTTGGGCTGCAGCACTGAGCAGTCCCATGCCTGTTGTACCAGGAGTCCCAAGGTGTTCCTGGCCTTGATCCATGCATGAGGAGATGCAGAGCTGTTTTTTTCACCTTCCAGGACAGTGCCCAACCACCAGTTTGACAGTGCTTTTTTTTAGGGCATGGGCCTTAATTTCATCAGCTCTCACTTCAAGGTTGTTGATTAGAAAGGTGCGGTGATTACACAGGTTAAAGCACAGGGCAGGGCACTCTTCTGAGCAGACGGAGACTCTAAGTGGAGAGGAGACTAAAGCCCAAGCATGTATCCACTGGGTTATGTCCTTTTAAAAATTAAGTGATTGTGAAATTGCTCTCATACAGCAGAATTTCACTAGGTTCTGTTTCAAGAGCACCACTGAAATGGGAGACACCAATCTCAAGGTTGCCCAACAGGCTTCATGTCTGGTGTAGTATGAGACGGAACAGCCAAAAGGAAATCTCTTTGCAAACTCCCTGTGATGGGTCCCTGGACCACACACAACAATATTTTCTGTATTTATTTATTTATTTATGTTGATTCTGACCTACTTTAAGAAAGCGGAAAAAGAAAAAAAGGTTTCTTCCAGCAGCAGGTTTGTGGAGCAGAACCCTGTCTCATTCCATAAGGCTGCTGGCTGGAACCTCTTGTATGGTGTAGGAAGCTCCTCCTCTGTGTGGGAGGTGGATGATGGGTGGAGATGGAGCACTTCCCAGCTACGGAGCTCTGTCTGGTAGATGTAATGAACACTAGCACCTCCCCTTGACTCAGGATCACTCAAAATTAGGCTTTAACTTTCAACTGCAATGTGATTCTCCATGCAGCTACCGAACAGTAAAGAAATAATCAAAGAAATGCAGTATTTAAAGTGTCATCACACTCCAAAATGTGTAAGGCCAAGTTTTATTTAGAAAAGCCTAGCAACAGCATCCTGTTTCTGTGTTTTAATGGACAGAACATCAGGCTTCATGCTTAGGACTTTTAGTCCAACAGTGTTCTCTGCCTGTAAAGCACCGCTGGATAGCAGACCCAGACCTTAATTTGCTTGTGAGTTTTCCCTGAAATAATTTCTAAAGTCTTTTGATGTTGCTGTTCAGTACAATTCTGGTGACTTTTTCATTTAATGTAAAGCTCTGTACAACTGCAGAAACAAATATTTCCAGTAAAGTATCAACAGTGCAAAGCCTGGACACAGAACAGTTTGTAAAGCTGAGTTCTAGTTTCCAGGCCACCTCCTTTTTAACAAACTGGCCCTTGCTAATTGCTTCAGTGGGACAGTTGTAACTGCAACTTCGTGACTGAATACAACAGCAAGGCGTCTATGAACACACTGTCGAATGTCTAATATGCTTGAAAAGAATGCAAACGCTGCTTCGTGATTCAAACAAAAAACCCTTTATGAATGAATTTTAGCTTCCATGACCATAGAGATGACAAGTTAATGGAGCCATTCGCACTGTGTGGATAAGGATTTATCCATGCAATTCCCCTAAATGTTAATGGGAGTTGTGTAGCTGAATCCCAGACTTGCCATGCTGAAACTTATCCCTAACTCTCCAAGGAGAAGGGTGCTAATTGGATTGCTGAGTTTAAATCCTTCAGCTAGCTGGTCTGTGGAAAGGATTTAGCACTGGCTCTGTAAAAGGCTTTACATCTCTTCGCAGTGCAGTGCAGGGGAAGATTTTTTTCCCCTTTCTTTTTTGTGATTAATTGTGAGGCTTGAGGTGACAGGAGACATAATGAAATTCATAAATGCCAAAGGCCGTCCCTAGTCACATTCCTGGCTGTTGGTTTAAGTTAGAAACTGACAGAAGTGTGAACAAATCAAGGTTGTTCTGATAGCCTTTCAGTTACGGGGAAGAAAAAGTAACTGACAATGAGAAACCACTGGAGGTGGTTTAATGGGTATACATTTTCAAGAAAGGGTGATATTTTACACTGATTCAGATTCTTGGATACATGACTTACAAACAGACGTAGTCTGCCCCCACTGCAGTCTGAGGGATTCCAGTCGTTTTTTACAAAAGAAGATATTGGCACAAGTTATTTGAGCAACCTGCCAAAGAAAAGCTGTTGCAAAACCTGTAGCAGAACTCAAAGTGACTTGTTCTGTGTCTTCGTTTGTGACTGGCCTTGCTCTGCTTGTTATGAATTTTAAAAATGCACTTCCCTCTCTGTAAAACAGAACTTGCAGCTTGAACAAGCAGCATAAGAATTAACCTAGGACTCTCACTTCAGCCTGAAAATACATTCTACTAATGCCCCACATTACAGTGTAAAGCATTGCTTCACCAGTGCTGGTTTCCTAGTCCATGACAGTGCAGAACATGTCATGTCTGAGTATATATTGACCAGATACTGATGCGGTGATCTTTTGAGCCAGCTGCCAGCAGTCTCTCACTGGGGTTTTTGTGATCGGAGAAGGACACACAATGGACAGTTGCTGTGTGGTAGTTCAGCACTGCTAAGGGCTTCAGTTTTTTCCAGCCAAAGATCCTGATGCGATGATCCCACCCTGCCGTTGCTAAAATCTTCTTGTCTGGACGGATGGTGATATCAGATATGCCAGCGTTGACAAGTTTGTGTGTTTTGTAAACCTGTGTGAGAAAGTTATAGATGAGCTCTAATTGTTTAAAACAGAAGAAAAAGGAACCTTTTGGGATTTTAGAAGGTATAGTGCCCACCCACATACACTGGTATCACACAGGTAGTATGGAGCTTTTCACCCCATGGTGGATAATGCCTTAGAGAGAACAATTATTACCAGAGATGGAAAAGACCTTACCTTGAGCCTATCTATCTCCAGCACCATTCTCTAAAAAATAAAAGCACCCCTTGTATGTTTTTAGTTTATATTACATTTAAAGCTATTTATATTCTGTCACAAGTGAAGCTCTGAGTCAAGGTTTTGAGAACCAGACTACACAGCTTTGCTCTTTTCTTCCAGCTATTCTTGCATGAGCTGCAATGTTCAGAGCTGTGGCCATATATTTTCCCTGCTTCTGCAATATTCCCATGCTGAGATTCTGAGCTGATGTTTAAACTACCTGCTACTTATTTCTACTACTGTGGCCCCTCACAAAAACTCCAATAAGCTGTGGTAGCATTTACCACAGTCTTGAGAAAGGAATGCTTCCAGGAATTAGGTTACAGTGTTAGGAAATCTATATTTCTAGTACTCCTTCCCAAGAGACTTTTATTTACATGAAATTCCAAGGAGGGGATTACAACCAAGTTATTGATTTCAATCTTGGAAGCCTTTTGTTACTGCTTGGAGACTACTGAGGCACAAGTTTCTGAGGGGCACAATTAAACTGGAAGGCATTTAACTTCCTTCAGGAGGCACTGGGGCTGCACAGGACTTAGCCCTTGGAAAGAAAAGTTTTCACTTCACTGACATGAGTTTCCCCTGAAGCACAGAGGGAAAGCTCAATATAATACACTTTTGCTGTTCTCACCTCAGGTAACTTGTATTAGTCAGCAGTCTACCTCTGGGACACATGCAGTATACGCACCAGAGTGTGTATGCGTGCATGCATGTATGTTGAAATGCCTAGCTTTTGTCACAATGTGGAAAACACCTTTTGAGTGTATACTGACCTTGAAGTGCTGTTATTTATAAGTGCAATTGGAAATGACACGTTAATGCCACCATCTACTTAAGACTGAATCTGTAGCTAGCTTGTACCAAAGCTTAATATAATTCAGTGCATGTTTTTAATACACTGTGTGTTGTTTGCTGTTCTGAGGTGGGAAGGCATTGACAGGCATATTGCATCTGAGTAGTCTTCCTCCTCACTAAAACTCCAGAAATGCCGGTCAAAGTTGGTTTCAGATGCAGTTCAGAGCAGAACCCATCTTGGAATCTTACAGGCACAAAGCTAGAAGCAGTTGCTTTTCGACTATGTAACAACTGCCCAGCTACTTACTCAAAACAGCAAGAGATGTGCAATTCGATAAGAAAAAAGGCTAAATGAAACTTGACATGATTCTTGCATGCTCCATAAGTTCCTCTTTTAAATAGGACCTGACGAATGTGTCTACAACCAATTCAGAACAGAGGACAGCAAGTTTTGCCCAAGCCTCATGAACAGTAGGAGGCTGTATGTGGGCCTGCTACTGTAAAACCTGTGCTTTTTGCTAGTACGTATGTTCTTCCAAACTTCCCAGTTACACCAATGTAGCATGGCTTCAGTGGGATTTTTGTTGGCGTATGCATAGTGGCAAGGGAAGGATTTATTACTTACATCACCAGCCTGGCAAATGTAAGATGGGCCTTACTCTGTACCTGAGATTATTAGCTAATGGCTATAACCAATCCTGGGTGTGGTGCTTCCCATCATACTGTCAATTATGTGGGCAAGATCCATACAGCAAAATCAGGGCGACTGGGAGAAATTGCATGTCATCAGCAAGCTACAACTTGAAAATGAAGCCTGTAATGGTGATGCCTTTTGGCTATGGAACATGAGCGAACAGTGGGCATTTGTGCATGATCTGCAAATACAGGAGGTGAGAGAGAAAAACAAAACAAAGCAGAACAACTTGCTCAAGGTATATGCAGCCAGGTGAAATCCTAGTGCCAGGATTTGTGCCATCCAGTCACTTATGGGCAACTACTGTAGTCAAATGCATACCAACATAATTTCCTAACCAGAAAACCAGCTTGTAATTAAGAAAACAAAGAGGTAAAAAAGGGTGAGCTGCTTTCAGCCAGTCATGACCAAGGACACCTGCATCTACTAGCAAATGCATTAAGAAATTTTGACATGCTGAGGCCAACAGATACCTCTCCTTCCCTCCTTAACACATGCTATCTATGATTTTTTTTTTTTAAATCTCCCTCTCCTACACCAAATCATGCCTTTAAACCCTATTCTTACTAGACAAATAGCTAAGATAGCAGCAGCCTTAGCTTCAGCATTTGAGGGAAAAGCCTCAGCAACCCAACCAACACAACCTGTCTGTTTACTTACATTACAGCTTATAGAATTTTTTTCTTGTCATATATGAAGGAGCTTCTGTGATTATCAGCTTGCTTAGTTCTGCTTTGTTTATTCACCTGCAGAAGCTGTTTACCTCCTACATTCTACCACGAACATCATCACATAATTACACTATCTTGTCCAAATCAGAAGGCTCACAACCAATCCAGTCATTTTCTGACAGTGATGATTTCAGCAACTTTCTTGTAGAAGACAATACACCAAACTTTCCCCATAGCAATAAACTATGAAGTTACCTTCATCATCTATTCATTGACACACTGGAACATTGCCATTTAAAACAGAGCTGAAGTACCATCATTGCGTCATTATTTCTCCAACAGCAGATAGCTATGCATCACGTTTACTTATTAAAACCTTTTAGAATAAAAATAATGTGCCACTGAGTGGCTTTCCAACGTCTACCATTACCTCAGGTACCTGGAATGTCAGGGAAAAAAAAATCCCCATCTGGTTTATATTATTAATGGCATAGTGGGAAAAAAACTTAATCTATGTCCTTGACAATCTCTTGTGCTCACATGAAAGATGCATTTTATTAGGGCATTCGCACTATGTGTGAAGCACAGAAACAGTGCTTATAGTTTATAATGCTTGGCATTTAAATTTCTTCTGAGAAAAGCTACTATCTCTCAGTGTGATGTGCTGAAGATGTAACTAATCCTACATCTCCTGGGAATATGAATACCCTGTGGAAAACAATACCTGGAATATTTCAGGTGAACAAGTGTTTATTTTTCCCATGAGTCATACCTGTAGCCCTGCATTATGGTTAACTCCTAACTGAAATTTGCTGTGGAGAACAATATTTTCTTTGAATTTAGGAAAAAGCTATGCTATAATTAATATGAAGGAACAGCTTCCTCTCCAACACCAGAGTATTTGAAGCTTTAAGAAGCCTGTCATGATGTCAGGTTCCTGACAGCTTGGCCTTAAAAAACTAGTCTCAGTACCAAGTTTCTTACTGGGACTTAATCTGCTCCACTTCCTTCTGCTTCCCTGAGCTGAGGACCAGGTGCAGATGTGTGCCAATAGTGATAAAAAGGCCAGGGCAGGGGGAGGGCAAACATGACAAAAAAAAAACCCTAAACCATGACAATTGTGTATCAGACGTGTTAAAACTCTTCTTTACCACATTGGCTTAGAATGCCTTTGCTACTTAGAGTCTAGAGAGCCTCTCTTACTTCATGTCGTATTGCTTATTAAAGTTTAGATGTTCTTCTCAGTGAGTGCTGTGTCCTCCAAACTTCATCTCAGTTGGATGCATTTACACTACATGCCCTACTACTCCATAAATGCTAGTTCTGTGGTGATGCCTAACAGATTATATACCTTCACAGTGTCCCCCAGCTGACGAGTTACCGTTGGATGTCCAAGCACTTGCTTTTCTTCCTGTAGCACCATTCAGAAAACAGCATTAACTTGCCACACTACCTAAAAAAATCTCCACAAAGGCTGCAAGCTGGGAGAGCAATTATTGTTACTCCATTAATTGGCGTATCCAGCAGCTCTCTTCTCGAGGATGATCTGGGGGCACACAGGGCCTGGGTCAGGTCCTCTTCATTGTGTGTTCAGGGGACAACTGCCACTTTAAAAAAGGTTAAAGCACTCAGCAGTGGAGCGGCTATGCATGGGCCATTTTAATTTTCATGAGAGCCTTTATTTATGCACTTCATTTCCACACCTATTTAAAACCTACTTAACCCCTTGGCACTGTTGGAACACTTGCTAAATTTGTCTAGATTAAGCAATATTTATTGCCATTCACTAGCATAGCCTGAACTAGTGATTAAGAGATCTCCTTCTAAACCAGCCATTCCAGGTACACGTAGCTCAGACACAAACTGATATATCCAATTAATTTATTTTCCCTGTCTCTGGCTAGGGCTCTAAAGGTGCCAAAGAAAGCTGGCTGCCTAAAGCTCATGTCTTCTTGGTACTAGCTGGGCTGCTCCTACTCTTTCTGTTTGTGAAGTGTTTAATGGAATATTTCTGTCTTTCCCACAGTGGAAAGCAAGCTCTATCCATTCAAGCAGAACCTTTGGAAAAGCAATCCTTTGTTTCTCATTTTCATAACTCATTTATAATGTTTAGGACATTCCAAGAGCTGGATACTACTAACGTGATAAATGAAGATACAGAGGCAATGGCTTGAGTAATGCTAGGCTTGTGTGCCTGTTGCAACTTTGGTAAAACCAGAAACATGTGAGAGAGGGTTTTTTTTCTTTTTTTTTAAATCCTCACCATCTTTTGCTAAGTCTAGTCACATAGCACAGACATTCTAACCAGTCTGTGATTAATTAGCTAGAGATCTGCAACAACTCCTCTTCATGACTAAATATTTTTTTAGTCTATCAAACTGTTAGTGCAAAGTGGGATAAATGACACTAGAGGGCCAATGATCCTGACCTGGAGGTTCTGTTGCTCATTGAGGCTCCAGATGCTAAGCACCTTTTCAGATGAGCCTGAGATCCCCTTGGCCTTCTCCGAGTCAAAGTCAAGGCTCATCACTGGCTCCTGGTGGCAAACAAGTTGGCTCAACACTTTTCCCATTGACAGATTCCAAAGGACCACTGATCCATCTTCATAGCCAGCCAGAAGCAAAGGTTGTGAACCACAGTTGAGCTGATCAAGGGAAAAGCAAAATTGTTTGAGAAGTAAACAGTCTGTTAGGAAAATTATCATCCCCAGGTAGGTTTCAGTCCAAGCACCAAGAAAATAAATGAAAATGCTGACTGGCATAGAATTGAAAAGTTTAAGCCTGAATGTCAAATTTTGATAGTCCACCCACTTACAAAAAACATTACTAGGTAACTGCTGACATGCACTTATGGTTTTTATACCTACATATAAAAATCTATGATGTTTTACATATATAATATGCATCTAACATACACACATCTAGAAAATTTCTCTCTGAAAATCCAAACTATTGCCCTCTACAACACCTGAAAAAAGGCTGCCTGAAGTTTTCCGAAGCTTTACTTCATGGCCTGAACTTTGTGCTCCTTAAAAAAAAATTACTAAGAGCAATGAGTTACTATCAATCCGTATGGACATTGAAAGAAGTGCCATGCTTAAAGATTCCAGTTTCACATTGCCAAGTGTAGGGTTACACATAGGGATCGTTTACCCGCGTGCACCGCAGTGCTTAAAGGTAAACACTGAACCTCTCTTCAGGAATCTCTGGGTGAGTCACCAAGGGGTTAACGGGCACCCGAGTCCCACTGTAACCAATTGAAAGCTATTTTGATTAATGATGTCACAGGCCAAAGGGCATGGCACCCTGGGCAGACACCTAATTTATTTAAGCCTCTGAAATAACTCAAGGAAGGGAACATTACTGGATTACATGTCACACTTAAGGAAAATATTCATCATTGCTCCAGCCAAAAGACTAATGACCCCATAAGCAGTAACTGGTTATGTGAGTGAAGATGCAAAAATCCCTAATGAAAAGCAACTAAAAAATAGGCATCTGTTAGTGCCAGTTATTTCTTTAATAGGAGAAGAATCACCAAAATAAACATTGGGATTATGACCATATCATGCAGGCACATATAAGAAATGTATCCAACAGGTTAATTCAACTCCTTCCAAACACTGTCTGAGCCTACAGGATTTGTTTGCTTGGTATTCAGTTAAAAATAAAAGGACATTTATAAAAAATTAATTTTTACTGGTATCACATTATTGAATGAGGTTCTTCAAAATCGCTGGCTGTCAATGTCATGATACAAACCTGCAGCAGCCAAAGGCTCAGTGCCTCTGTTAATGGTCCAGACTATTCTCCCAGTGGTTATTATTTGTTCTAGGGGGAGTTAAACTAACAAGAGATGGGTGGTCTAGGTAATAAGACTGCTGAGTAAAAGCCTCATGTTCTTTCTCAGATTTGTTCAGCCTAAAGAAGTGTTTAAATGAGGAATGGATCTCACTGAGCAGGGAAGAAAATTGCCCCTTAAAAGAAGGAAACCAGGGGGAAATCCCCTACATCATCTTTCTGAACAGGTCTGTCCACACCTGGGATCCTGCAGGAGCCTCATTCCTTGCTTTAAGATCCCTTTTCTTTTGAAAAGGTAGGGAGCATGCTCTGGCTAGAGAGACCCACAAAGAAGGTCTCTCATAATGCCTAGAACTGTGCACAGTTTTTCTGTTGAATTCTTGATTTGCTAAAATAACATCAGAGCAATGAATATATGTCAAATTTATGTGAATTAATGTTAACTCATGAGGTATTTTGGGTGAAGAGTACCTGGCTTTTAATACCAGGGGAAAGTGAAAAAAAAAAACTGAATGAAATGAACATTCCAGATTTTATTTGTATTTAGTAAAGGGTAAAGCCTTCAAAGCAAAACAAAGTATTTCATAGGTACTTCAATTAAGTTTAAAAAAGCCCCCAGTTTGGGCATAAACCATGCCCCCCCAATTATTTGTACCGCTCTTCTATGAGCACATGACTCCTCCAGAGCCCTGGGGCTCTGCAGAAGGTATAGCTTTCATTAGCCAATGGAAACGAGGCATGGATGGGCAGGGTCGGCTCCTTTGCCTTACTCAAAATGGGATGGCCAGATTTTCATAGATGCCCATAACCCTCATTAAGATAAGAGAGACAGGCGAGTGCTCAGCATTACGGGAAATGCCAAGCAACCCCCTTTTTTTTAATTTTCTTTTTTTTTTATTCCCCCGCTCTGGGTATCTTAGCTTAGATTTGAAAACACGTTATTTGCAAGTGAGATCTAAGATTGGTCTATTTTAACAACAAAGTATTGTTTTCTATGAAATGAAGATCTCCCACACTACTTCTTCCTGACTTTCCCTAACCATATGAAGTGTAATATTTCAATGAATACATATACTTGAACTTGAACAATAAAAGCTATTGAAAGATCAGGGGAGCTCTCAGTCTGATGCCTGGACTCACCAAGCAGTGGTTCACAACGGCCCATTTATTTCAGTTCCTAATAATGGACACTTCTGGCGAAAAGTCTTCACCATTCATGTTCTGTTTCAGTGGAAAAATCAAATTATAAATCATTGTTCTTCCTCAGCAGAATATTTTATTGTTGCATTTGGATAACTGTCAAGGAAGGAAGAAAAGGTGATCTGCTGTCAACTCAACAGGAATAATTGCTATAGTTTATATAAAGTAATAACTCTGCATTTCCAGTTTCTACATGTATTATTCCTGTTGAATTATTTTGTTTGCACCATTACGCAACATGATGCCTTCCCCAAAGAGTGCAAAAAAATTTAAGGGAAGACTATCCTCACTCCTACAAATCCTACTCCACCCAATTAGTAATAGCAGGAAGGTGTGAATCTGAAGGGACAATGTATTTAAGAATATGAACCTTCGCAAGGAAAAAAACCCATTCAATGAACCAATATATTTAAGGACAGACCTAGTAAAATGAGGGGGGGGGGGAAAGCTTCAAAACAACAAAATAAACAGCTGCAAGCTTTTTAACTGCTTAGGAGAAGCCAATGAGGCTTAATCTACAAGCATAACCGAAGCCTCAATTTCCTTCTGCTCTATCTAGTTCACGCTGCTGCTGGTAAGGTGCATTGTTTCTCTGATATGTGGATTTTTTTTTTTTATTGGCATGCAGAAAAATATGATGATACATGGCTGCAGCCCCCAAACTCATGTTGGACAACAACATGAGCATACTTCCTTCAGACCATTATGTGGCTCTCTCCATGTCAGCTTCTGTTTCAACTTGTTAATTTACTGTGCCATAAGCAACATCAAATAGTCTCTTAGGCAACACATTGCCCATAAGCGATGGGTTGGGGAGTGCTCATCTCCTGGGTATGTCTATATTGCCCAATGCAGTAATGTACAAAGAAATCCTGGATGGCCTCTATTCAGGAAGGGGTGCAGCTGGGTTAGCTCGTGTTCCTCTCTGCTTTTATGGTTACAGGGTTACTCAGTGAGCCACTTCCAGTGAAACCACAAAACAGAATGCAGAGCATCGCTTTGGTACACCACATATAATTATTTGTCCTTAAGAGTATCCTCCTCCCCCATGCTTTTAAACCGAGCCGCACACATTTGTAAAAGAGCAAATACAGCTGTGAGACTGTAAGGGATTATCTATCTTTGCCTGTTGCAGTCTAGGAAGTTGTGGTGACTTCCCAAAGCCAGAATTTGCATGGCTTGCATTTACCTCTCCCTGTTCCCAGTCCTCTGCTTTATCCCCACTGGCAACAAAATTAAAAACTACATAAAATTAAGACTCTACACCTGCTCTGCTTCCTAGAGGAATAGCAATATTAATGCACGTAGAAAATATGGCAAGACAGAAGACTTTTTATACAGGCAACAAAATTTTCAACACTGAACATTTCTTCAGTTATCTTCATCTTATTAAAAAACGTCCAGGAGACAGAAAGCCCCATTCATTTCATTGAGTACTGAACACTGATTGCATTTTTAGGATAAACTTTCTGTTTAATAAAAGCCTAATCAGTCTATTTAATTTTCCTTCTCTTTTTTTTTTTCTTTCTAGTTTTTAATTACAGCATGGGACTTGAACTGTGGCCTCTCCCACTTTTGTCTGAAGTCAGCAGCTGAATTCCTCTAGACTTCAGTCGGTTCAGGACCTTGAGTGAAAACACTAAGGCCTCAAATTCACAACTGATTGATAATTTTTTCAACTGAAACCAACACAAATGTTCAGATGAACCTGCAAGAATAACATACTTGAAATCAGCTCAGATGGTACTGCAAACCTGTAACAGTGTGTGGTCAGGGGGTTAAACTGGGAATCGGCTTTGCCATCAATTCTTTGGAGATTTAGAGCCAATCACCTAAATTCCATCCTCCCTCTACTGCCACCTCTTTGTATTACTTGTCTTTCACTGTTGGCACCCCATAAACATTATTTGCTGAAGACTCTGCAAATGTGGGTTTTTTTCATTAACTGCTTTTATTTACTTTTTTGTCCAAAGTCAATACCACCATAAATAGTTTGTTCCTATTGTATGTCTGGAGTAGAAATGTTCATAGAGTGCTTCCTTGTCCTGAGGGCATTGAAGTGAATGTAACCTGCCATTAAAATCACTATTTTTAAGTAACCCAATCATTTCTCATCATTCTTAATGCAGTGAGAAACCATATCAAACAACTGGCTTTGGTAAGTCACTCATTTTCCTCTTGATTGATGCAAAAACTGTATCTATCCTAAGGATACAAAGCTTTCCCTGAGCATTTGCAAATCTTCCATTAAAGCTTGGAAAGCTCTGAAAGTTACATTAAGGATGTTCACAAATCTTTCCCCCCTTTAATAGTATAATTACTTGATTGGTTTGATAATAAATCAAAATCTAAGTGAAGAAAGATTCATGTGCTTCATATAAAATGAATCACAGGGAAAACATTTCACAATTAGCAGGCACTCTTGCCTTACCTGCCATAACTTCAGACACATGGGCATGCCCAGCTTGGCACCCACCTCTGGCTTCAAGGTACAGACTGACGTCTTGGATGGCAGCTCCAAAACCTGAACCTGACATCAGGAAAACAAGAGTATTTGGTCAGGCTCCAGGTCAAAATTCTGCTGTTAAAAACACAAGTCTTTTAAGGTGATTTAAGGCTAGTATAAGCTCTTCCAGTAAAAACTGTCTGGAGGAAACTGAGGAATGCATGTGAAGTTGGAGCTGTAGGGGAATCTACAGCTATCTAAATAAATGCATTGTTTTAGGAAAGACCAGACAAAACTGCTAGAATGAACACTTCCTCTTCTTCCACTCTTGTTTTTAATCTGTATTATAGTCTTCTTTCCATACAGTAGATGATATTGTGCATACACTAGATAATACTGCAGACTGCTTAATCTGAAAACACTTCCCTATTCCTCTCCCTTTCCCCTTTTTCTATCTCTGGTGCTATTTTTTTTGTTATATTCACTTGTGGACAATTGCATTGTCTCCTCTGTTCTGTCATGTTAACAAAGAGCTTGTGTGGAAATGTAGGCAATATATCTATATATCTAAGGTGGATTTTTTTTTATTTACTGGCTGACTGCACTAACAAAGAGCAAACCCAGAATTATCTGCTAATGCAGGCTGGAGCAGTGATGGCATACCAGTATTTTTAACACAATATTGTCTGACCCTATTCAAAGCCGGGTCAGACAATATTGTGTTAAACACCTGCTCTCTGTCTACATAGCAGCTTCCACTGTTGCTTGCACTGGTGGTAATGAATTATGGATACTATGATTATTTATTTATTTATCCACCTATCTATCTATTTATTTATTTATTTTAGCATTGGGCAAGTCTTTCCCCTGCCAAGGAAGTAGTAGCTCATTTCCACCTCAGGATGATGGCAGGCAAGATCAAGGGAGTCTGCCTTTGCAATTTGGCACTGGAAGGTTTTGAGTCTCTTGATTGACACGGAAGTGCCTCACTCTGGGCTGATTCTCAAGCCTGGAACTATGGAGAAATAGAAGTTCTTAGGTATCAAAAACTTGGTGCCAGGAACAGCGCTTGTTTCTCAAATGTACACTTAATCACTAAGGTGATCTTTTATTTTAATTGCATAAACAATGGTCTGCGTTATCTTGTAAAATTAAGGGACTTCAAACATTTGATAAATCCAGCATTACCAGCCATTCTAGGCTACGTCAGAATGTGCAAAAGCCCAGCAGTGCCGTTGGACAGCCCCAGTCATGCGAATTTCCTTAAGCATCTGAGATGAGGTATTACACAAATATGGCTCCTCTGGGAGCCATCAATCAAGACCACAGCAGCTGTGATGGCTTTCCAATCCCATACCTTTAGTTCAAAGCTTGCCAGAACATCTTCCTATTTCTAGAGGTTGTCAGCTAGCCTGCCAAAAGCCAGCTGCACTCTAGGACTGCAAGTCGACAATGTACTAAACACAACATACGGAACACTTTCTAAAGCCACTTAGCAATGCAGCAGGAAACTATTCTCCAGATTTAAGGAATGGTGACTACAGCAAAGAGACATCCAATATGTAGACCAAACCTATGAACAGCCCAAAGTTTGATCATCTGGGAATTCTGGTTCTTTGGAGCTACACTCTTAACAAAAGATGCTTTTCTCTTGGCAGGGTTCTTGCTATCAACATAATGACCAAGTTAGCTGTTGCAGGAAATGGGCTATATGAAGATGACCCGCTCTCATTCTTGTGTCTTTCATCACTGGCTCTCCAAAGGGCATTGCCTCCTAGACAAGACTGAAACTGCAACTTTTACATAATAAGGAAGGATAAGTGCACTGTGATAAATGCACTTCTGCAGGTTAAAAGACAAAAAAAACCCTCCTTTGCTTTACTTTGATTCAAAACGGATGAACTGGTACAAGGGCTACAGTTGGGCTTGCAAAGGACAAAGAACACAAAGAAGGGAAAGCTTTTTGCAGAAGGCAGGCAGGCATCAGCTGCCTATGCTAGACTGACAGTTCCAGAGACTGTCTGCATTAGAGGCAACTGAGCGTTAGAAATAAATACTATTTCATATATTTTGACAACTGTAACCTAAAACTTTAAGTTCTGTGTTTATATTGGTTTTGCTTAATAGGAGAAAGATTTGCCTTTGCCTGAGGTTAATAGTGTTCCTGGGTGGCTAAAACTGGCCACAAGGAAACACACCCTTTTTCACATTAATAAAGCTTTTAACATGTTTCTGGCAAATTGGCAAGAAAAGTGCGTGTAACTCATAATTGGTGATTTAAATGCAATCATGAACAAATAAATGCCTGTTCAGATCTCATTATTTATGGACTGAACCTGCTTTAAGACAAAATTACTCTTTTTTTGGGTACCAGCCAAGCATAAACACTTATTAAGTCTTAATTTTAATCATAAGCTGCAAATGTACTGTGTCTCACACAGTGCTGCCTATTTGGAAGCACTATATATTATGGGAGCTTATGTGAATTTATTGAAACCTGACACAGTTCTAATGTAAAGGTTCATACACAGAGTGGAACTCTTACCTCAGGAGACAGCAAATCATAATCAGTTTGCAGGGCCCAAGCAAACAAATGAAAATAAAATAGAGAAGAGTTGTAAGAGACATTGGGGTAAATGTCTTCTCTTTGGATCAGACAATTATTTAATTCTTCATTACCAGAATGTGTGTGTGTACTCTTTGCCTGACACAAAAATTCTTCTCCGTCTGACACAAGAATGCACATGTCAATTTTGTTTAACTTAAATATTATTGAGCACTGCTGTAAAATGGAGAGAGTTCTTTTGTTTGATCAGAACAACGCAGGGGACTTAGAGTGGTTGTATTTACTGGTACAGCGTTTGTGTTTACAGGCTTATTCAGTTCTGTAAAAGGCTGAACATTCTGGCTGTGAGCCAACAAAGTACTTAAATATGTGCTTAACTTCTGAATAATAAAAAGTTCACATTTTCTTGCAATACAGGCACCATTCCCACTTATTACTTCGTATATAAAATATGAAACTTTCAGTTTCAAGATACGCATCCTATAGTCCAGAAAAGCATGTGACCTTTTATGCTTATGAACAATTTGCAGTTAGCTACAATATATCTTTTCATATTTATGCCACTTCTTTCTGTTTTCATATTTTTGGTATTTTGATGTGAAGTATTTGAAATAATTTATTTTTGTGTGATGTCCTCAAATAGTCCTTCAAAGAAAACAAAAATATGATTTCTACACAGCAGAAGGTGGAAATTGCCAACAAAGCTGTCAGTCAGTGATTGCTGCAATAATGGGTATTAGATGTGGACTTATCCAGTAGGAACTGAAACGGACCCTACAATTATCTCACAGTGAGCAAACCTTTGGCCGCTAATAGTAATTCAAGTATTTCCAGCCAAAGTACCAGTTAAAGAATTAGCCTCGGGTGAAAGACCACATATCGCATTACAAATTACCTTCACCTCCCCTTCTCTCACCAAACACGACTTTTGGCTTCAGATGGAAGATGAGTACCTCCATCTGATGACAGACTTTCTGACCATTAGTTCCCCAGAAGGACTCTTGTTCCCCTTTAACAGTATTCAGCAGCACCAGAAGAGTTTTCAGAACTCCTGCACATGAAAGACCAGCAGCAGCTACAAAAACTTCAATGTCAGAAAAATCTTGGGGTGGTATCCTAGTTATTAGAGCATAAGTTATATAATTCAGTCATCTTTCTGGCAGGTAAAATTAGTGATTGGAACCCCCAAAGGTTCCTTGTGCTGCCCTCTCTTGAGCAGAGAATTTGAGAGCAATGATGTTTCCCCTTCTGAACTATCTCATTTCAAAACCAAAAGCAATCTCCCAAGCACCAGAAAAAGAGATACTTCCTACCTCCTCCAGGGCCTTGGCTGCCATAGCCACTAGCCAGCGTCCCTGTGCCACCTTTAACAGAGAGCATCTGCAGAATCCCACATTCTCCGTGAAGACAGAATCCGTCACCGAAGTACGTCCCTCTGCTAAATCCCACAAGCAGATCCTCTGGTCACGACCCTGACTGTTACAGTAAAACAAGTTACCCATGAGCCGCAGGTCTGAGAAAGCCTGACTTCCTGCATGTTAGTATCTCAATGTTGGGTCTTTAACAGGCAGTAAAGGAGTGAGCTTAGTACAGCTTCTATGGGGTATTAATTGGGTCTTTCATGAAGTGTGTGGGAACTCAGTATCACCGAGACCACCACCCTTCTGCTGACTGCAAAACTGGCCAATAGGTTCAAAAGTTACCGAGAGGAGGGAGGACCCGAGAGTCAGTCAGATGCACTGCAGTCACTCTTTGCCACGTTTCCTTGTGAAGAGAGGCTTGATCAAACACAGTTATGCTATTTCTATGTGCGTATGTGTTTATGAAGTCTCATGAGTATTTGAACATATTCATAATAAAAATACTCACATTTTACCATTGATTAGATCTAATTTAAAAGGAAACAAAAGTATCCAGAGAGTAACACATGTAACACTCTTTCACCCTAGCAATGAACTAGAAATGTCAGGCGTGTTGACAGCTGGAAGACAAATAGCAAGACAACAAAGACTGCATCAAAGGTAAATAAAAAGCTACAGTTATTCAGTGGCCAACTTCCCACAGCCACAGGGAGGGCACAGAAGACTGTTACGGCTGCGTATGCATGGAGTCACAAGAGGAGAGGGACTGGCAGTGCAGTGAATAGCAGGAATTAAGCAATGAAATGCTGGGGTTAAAACATCCAAAACCAGAGAACCAGTGGCTGCATCACTGATGTACTAGTGCAGCTCATGCAGAGACTCCTCTGCATACCTCTCCATCCCGCAGAAAAGCCTGTGTGTTGGTCCCAGACAGTAAGACCAAGGAGGCCAGACAAAGGGCACAGCATGCATTGCTACATATTTACGTGATCCCACTGGCTCTGGAACAAAGTACCACTGTGGAGAAGCTTCCAATCCACAAACTACAGTAGCACAGGACATGTGTCCTCATGTTATCACCTGGGACAAGGAGTCATCAAAAATCCCTTATCCATTTCATATTTTAATTAGCAGTATCACCTGATGGAAGTATGAAACCAAAACAGAGGCAGATGCAAATCTACAGACTGTTGGGACTTCTCCAACATGAATACAGAAACTCCCATCTGCTGTTCAGCTGAGTGACAAACTGGCAAAACATTTATAGCACTGGGCATACAAACAACGTGGTACTGCAAGAAATTGTTGTGATTTAGCTTTAGAACAGAGAAACAAAAAATACAGGTAACTGCTGTCCTAAAAATTGCACTGCTATGTGAACTATTATAAATATACAGCAAAAATAGAGGTATGAAAAAAAACTCTATAATTATACAAACAATGCTCATTCAATATGATTTTATGGGGGAGAGTGATGATAATTGTACTTAAGCAGATAACAAATATAAATGCTAATGAGTTCCACTGTATATTATAAGAGATGTCTTCTCTAGATAAACATGTCAGAACACCTCCTAGTCATACCGACACTTTGGCATCTACACTAGATCACCTGTCTAATCCAAAGTACACAAATCTTCCCAGCCTTCCCCTGTTAAACGAGACCAGAAGATATTTTGCAACAAAGGCGTGCAAGTCAACATTCTTGCTCATTTTCAGTCTTCCATTCTCCATCTCCAATTCTTCACTTCCTTCCTTACCTTTTCTCCCTCTTCCCCCTTTTTAGAAACTCTTTGTATCAATTTTGATCTTCTCTGAGAACCAGTTGTGAAGCATCTGTCAACTTCAAATCCAAGTGTATTTCCTTTACCCAAAGACCTCACCTGATCTCAATGCAGTAATAAAGACACTATGGACCCCAAGTTGCGATGTTGTCACATACATATCATAAAGAAACTAATAGTATCATTTTCCCCACTTTTTGTTCTACAGTTTTTCTGTATTTTTTACTTCTGTACATTTCCATATGTGTTGGAGAGACTTTCAGTGACTCCAGAAATAAGAGATTCCTTTTTTTTCTCTCTCTCTTTTTTTTTCTTCAATCATCACAGAAACAAGAATAATTTCACTGTTTTTTGCCTGCTATGCTAACCTGAGGAGCCTGTTTTTACTACCAATTGTCTCCACGCAGTAGACAGATTTTCTTCCATGGCCATCCAGTTCTGTGTTCACTCTGTGTGTTTTCAGGTTCCAGACATGGATAAACCCATTCTCAGACCTGGCAGTAAGAACAGATGCTTTTAGTGTGACCACTGCATACAGTCTGATAAGACAGTCTGATACTTTTCCTTCCCCCCCCCCCCAGAACTGAAGTTGTATGTACAAAGATAACACACCCATCATTCACCAACCATGCATTTTTTTGTTGTTCTCTCCAGGTACAATTTATCTAAATAATACACTTTGTTTTGAAAGGAAATGTCCATATAAAGTTCAACGCAGCCAGAAATCCTGGTTTACTTACCCAGAGAAAAGAGTGGGGACGTCAGGTTCTTGGCCTCCACAGGAAAAATGCAGAGTGTGGACTGCAGCACTGGTACCTCTGAGAACAAACTGTGGATCCGGAGGTGGCAGAGCCATCTGAGCAACGAACTGGGGGAGTGAGGAGAAGACACAGATACCACAGAGGGTAAGGCAGCCTAAAGTGAAACTGCAACTTGAAATATATTCTGATCAGGACATTTGCTTTTCCTAGTCACTTTCCTCTTTGAATTATCATTATTGGATACTATTTCTGTTTGCCATACAGTTCAGTGTAAAGTATTTCCTCATAACATCAACTGATCAAGCAGCTGTCAAATCTGCTTTTTTGCTGCATTCCTTTTTAAGCAAGGTAAGTGCTGAGCTGGCTGTGTGTATGCACCTCTTGTGCACTTGTAAATACAAAATTGTTCAGCTGTTCTCCCGGCTGCAAAAAGGAAGAGCTACAAAATGCAAGAAACTGGATACCCATAATTTCAGCGGGCAAGCAATTTATCATTCCACTTAGCCCCTTGGCAAGTCTTTCCCCTTCCTCCTTATAAAAATACTACTTCTGTGCTTTCCACTCACAACCATTTACAGAAAAGCATTGCAGTGAACATACCAACTGAAAAGAATTTCAGATGAGATTAGAGTTATGATCATTTTTACACAAGAATCCCATTATTCCCAAGTGTTTGAGTTTTTGGTTCCAAGCACAGTTACTTGAAAAAAAAGAAATGCAGTATTTCACACTAACTTAGTGACTACTGTGTTAAACATTTTATTCCAAGGGGTTTGTATTCCCCAAAGTATCAGTAAAGAGAGATGGATGCTTTCAGCTTTATTTCATCGGTTCAAATGTGGTCCAAGTCGGGAAAGAACAGGACAAGTATATGGGGAAACATGTTGCCCTGTCTAACATGGGAAACATGAAGGACAATTCATTATGAACTCACAGGGATAGTTTGTGTGATCTGATTAGGCACAGTCTTACTGATCTGGCACCTTCACCAAGTATTTCCATTCACATTAACACCTTTGCAGGCAGCTACACACAAGCGCCAAAGAAGGACAAGGATGACTTTTCTGTGTTCTGACTTGCTGCAAATGACCCTCCAGACCTGTGCTGGGACAAGGTAGCCAGCAGCTTCTTTGACTGTAAGTACAATTTGCAGTTCATTGGAAAATGTGTCATAATATGCATTACAAGAAATATTTTCACCATGAAAAGTTTTTACTGCTTTATCTGTGACATTACTAGCCAAGCTTGTATTTCTGCTTCTTCCTTTCTGACCTGACCTCGTACAGAAAAGGACAGCTTTTGCCACTACAGATGTCAACTCTCATCACTCTTTCCCATTCATGCATCTATTACACCGGATTAAACAAAAAGTTTTCCAAATTCAGTAAGGGAAGATCAGCAGGTGGTTTTCTGCCTGCTGGTTCACAGCAGAGGAATTGCACAGAGTCAGAACAGAGCGCTAGAGCTACAAGTTACATGGTAAATTAAAACAGCTCAACTTTTAATTGTTCTCTCACCTCAGTATCAGCTTTTGATTGTGTTAATGGATGCACTTGCTATTGCACCTCATTTGCAGGTCTACCTTGAGTGTTTATAGATCGGTAATCACCATGGTATCTATAGGTCCTAACTAAACACAATTATCTTATAGGACTAGTGATGAAACAGGATTCTTCAGCATAATGTGCAATTCTCCCTCAATAGCACTGTGTAATTAGGTATGAAAATAATGAGCTCAGTGGATAACTTCCATGTTTTAGTGCCCTGACTCATCTGTTTTATGATGTTGTCTGATGATCTAGACTCATGACAGGCTGGAGTAAATTTTCAGATGATTACACGATGTACAGGTTTGCCCCCATGGTGAGATCCAGCTCCCAAGTGCCTGTCTGTAACATGCTTCACCTGTTATAAACCTGTTAGACTGAGGATTTTGTCACAAAAGGTCACCTCTTTGGGACACTACAGCTGTATGCTGTTGTCCTCAAAATGACACTTTGTAGAACCGTGTAAATAAAATAGTAGCTAGGCGGCTTGCAGAGGAGCTGGGTTCCTCTTCACGGTGGAATGATCCTAGGTTACTGCACTAAGCAAGGAAGACAAAACAGAACTGAGTCAACCCAGAGGCTATCTGGGATTACAAGGCAGGTTTTTAATAGCATTTTTCTAATTACTGACACAGAAGTTTTTGCTGACAGACAGCAAGTGTGTGCGTGGCTGTGGGAATGGTTTTACCTGGCATGAAACAGACGCTACTAATGCATGTCTTTACAAGGACAATATTTCAGAAAAATCCTCAGACTGGCTACAGGAAGAAAAACAACTGAAAACATACTTTCAAGCTGTAAGCAAATGAAGTGACTTTTTTCTCCTTGGAGCCTGGTTCTTTGCTTGCTTTTTTGCTAATCAGATACATGAATCTGGAATTTTGGCTTAATATTAAACCTATGGCATTTTTTATTGGGCTTACGAGATGACTCCTTATTACTTCCTATCATGACTCAGCAGATGAATGGCAGTGTGACCACATTAAGCATCTCATCTTTCTTCCAGCAAGTGCTGAACTATAAAATTGCATCTGTGCTGTCTTCTTCATCCATGAGCTTGGACAAGTCACTGAAGACCAAGATTTAATGAAAAGTTCTTAAGTACCTAGGTCAACAGAAAGTCCCATGAGGTTGCAAATAGATGGAAATTTGGTGCACCAGTGCCTTAAAAACTCCAAGATAGCATCCATCTGTTCCTATTGACACATAAGCATCCTCGCAAAAATGACATTTAGCCTACTTTCAACTCACCAGGTAGCTCAATATCTCTATTTTACTTATAGGGATAATGAAATACATTGTGGTATACCGATACTAATAGATAATGGTTATACCATGCTTTGCTAACCACTTACAAGCATACTACATATGATGACTGTGCAATGGTAAAAGCCCCTAGGTAAATTTTTCAAAAGTGCCCAAGTGATTTAGAAGCCTAAGACACATTTTCAAATGAATTTTCAATCCTAAATCTCTAGTACTTTTTAAAGTTTCACCCCAGGTGTCTGAAAATGAGTTCTCTAATTAGCACAACATTTATTTTCTTGTTAACTCCATCTAGCCTCAGGGAGACTAATCTGTTCTTGTTAACTGGGGATATCTGCAACAAATTTAATTAAATGAATTTTCTTAGTATTTAGGCTGGTCTGAGAGCAAAGTCTGGCTCAAGGGCTTGAACAAGCAAAGTGTGACCTACAGAAGAAAGTTAATTTAAAAGCATCTTAGGGCTAGACCATATGTTTGTCCCTGAGATATCCTCATGCTATGACTCCTGCCTCCTATGAAAGTATGTTAAAAGATAGGAATCATTTTGCTTATGGCATTATTTGTTTGCAAGAGAGTATCACCAGTAAGAGATGCAACACATCATCATGCTCTTGTTTTTTAAAAGATGTTCCATTTTTTTTTTCTTCCAGCCTTCCCTGTGCTGGTAACAGCATCTTCCTGCAGGGTCTCAGCTACACTCTGATATGATACAGACAACTAGAAGTATTTTTCACAAGGTGCTCTGCAAACTGTTGGGCTCCTGCATCGATTATATTTGCTTTGTGAGCAAGGAGTGGAAAACCCAGCTGTTCAAATTAGTGTTTCAATAAGCAAATGGCTATGCATACCACACATTAGTTACTAAAAAGGGTTTTGTCTAAAAAATTGCTTCTACTAAATGCCAGAACAATTCAATTTCCTTCAAAATTACATTACTTTAAAGAACAATTCACTATTAATATCCCTTACAAAACTTACTTTGTTTAGGTTGCAATTAGAATCATCTTCAAACCATTTGAACGTCTATGCAGTGGTATTTCAGTATCATCACTTCAGCATTCGATATTAAAAAGTTAAGCTTTTATTTAATGAGAGTCATTTAAAATATGTAAATGTCAAAAGGATTACCTTAGAAAAATCTCTCAGAGAATTAAAAACATTAACAGATTCCCACAGGAAAAATTCCAGCAGAATTCAGCAACTCTCCTGTTCCCACTCCTGTCACTTGTATTTCTATCACACATTGAAGCAAAAACAAATTGCTATTAAAATATCATCCAAACACCCTCCTCCCCCTACAAACTCAGTTCAGTTTGAGATACCAATGGCTCAAGCAAAGACAAGAAAAAATCCTCTGCTTTTTTTTTTTAGGCTTATTTAGAGTAGTAAAAACCTCAGTGGTAAAAGAGCTTTTTCAGGTATAGGAGAAATAAATCTCTCTAGGCATGTCTGGCAAACTGATTTGGGACTGAAACCAGCAGGTGTGCAGACATAATTACTACTGCAAAATATTCAACACATCCAGGTGTGCTCACAAACAGATATATAAAATCCCTGTTATTTTTTGAAAATTCCTAGTCTACCAGGTGCCACCCTCCCAAAGGAAAAATCAGAGCAAAGAACAAGTTGAGAAAGATGTGAATAAATTGTTCTTCCCCCTTTCCAGGCTGTTCCTTTTTCATTCATACAAAAGCTCTTTTTTAGCCTGCACTTCTGTGCCTACCTGCACTCACTCAAAATTTTTGTGACACTCTGCCATGTTGTATAGTGTAGCTCTAGAGCACGGGTGTGTTTTTCAAAGTGGGTCACTAGCTGTAACTGCAGAGGAAGTCGGAGAAATAAGAGACTCCCTCAAATTAATAGTGTAACACAAACAATTTTGTTTATTCCATTACGTTTACAATCTCCAGCATTAAAATACAGCAGGCAGCCCTTGCAGTATGAGCTTTACAAATATTCCCATGTTTTCAGCCTGTAACCCACTGCAGACAACTGGGTTTCATAGTGGTGAAACTATGAACTATCCTCTGCCCAAGAAACACCCTTACAACACGGCTGTCTGTGAATACTGTGGCCCTTCTTCGTGCAGCCAACTATCGCCTTGCTGGTACATGTGTTACTTGAATAGCAAAGGTAGGTGGGGAGGGTCCCAACAGTACCCGATTCACCTCACTGAATTATGCCAGAACACAGCAGGACTTGGAAACATCTTAGACATCCCTCGTTGACACAAAATGCTGCCTGGTTATATGGCAGTTCTAGGAAGCAGAGAACAAGAGTTTAGGGCGA